GTTTGTAGTTAAGCAAAGGTTACATAATAGGTCCCATAAAAAGAGATACAAGCGATTTTAATGCAAATATAAAATGTCTCCACTGTAGAGGCAGGTACACTTATTGTCCTTGTAATCTTACCATCAATCTAATAAAAGCTGTTAGCAGAATGTTTCAGGTGGAGTCAGATGAGTCAGGCCGTTTTGCTCGGTTGATTTGCTCAACACAGAAATTCTTCTGCTTGAGCTGAGAGGTTTTTGTCCTTTTATTAGTTTAAACTAGAGAGAGACATGTTATATTTCTGTAGTTTCCATTTTTAAATGAACAATCATCTTCACTGAAACCTTTTTTTTAAATAATGCATAGGTTAACTTTTTTCTTCATTTTACATGTGAACTTCTGTGCTGCCTATACTGTTCTGATTTTGCTTGTTTGTGCAAGATGCCGTCAGATTTTTTGCTAATTTGAAGCCATGACAGATAACCCTGAGAATCAACAGATATTTTCTGTGAATATAAAGAACTATGAGTAATTACTCCTCCAACCTACTCATAATCTCCTGATTCCATTTGACTCATGGTGCATTTTTACATAAGATATTTTTGAGCGTTTTCATGCTGTAAGAAGTTAAGCTGTTTATAAAAGACTTTGGCAGCTTCTTGTTCTTTCAAGTAATTTCTTTAAGATAAATTCCTTCCATCTATCAGACTATAAATAGAAGAGGATTACTTTGTCGGGTCTTATTTGTTGTCTCTTTCTAGTGTCATGTCTTCTCTTTGCTTTCAAGTTGCCAGTGCAAAATGCTTCTTGTCATATCCATTATTTCATTGCCTGATGGTCTTGTTCTTAAAATTAGCTTTGCAGCATCAAACTGCTTTCTGTGAAGCATGGTGTTTGAAACAAAAAAGGTCTTTGAGCTCAAACAATTTGTCTTCTGTTTGCGGATGAGCCAGGTGAATCCCAAACTACATGATAGTTTTTCTTTCATTTTAGCCATGACACTGAGCGTCACTGGATCGATGCATCCAGACATGTTGAATCGTCCATCCCTCTGCTCTGTTATTTTGTTTTAGGTCATGGGTATCAAAGTTAGCACAAAGGGGACAAAATTTTGAACTTGTTTTTGAAAAACTTGGTCCAAGCTAAGGGTCAATAGTCAAAATGTTTTGAAAAATAATAAAAATTAAAATTGTAAATTATGTCAAATTATTACTATATAAATGCTCTTTTCCCAATTACATTTTATAGTTTAGAAGATACATAGCTGATAGTCTAAACCAGAGGTTCTCAAACTGGGGTCCCTGGACCCCAGGGGTCCGTGAGAGGTATCTTTGGGGTCCTTAAAATTTTTGACTAAATTTTTGATTTGGTTTTTATTTTTAAAAATGCATAAAGAACAATGAACTAATAAAACAAACATAATAAACTTAAAATATATATTTATTCCCATGGCATTTAGGGGTTGAAATGACAATAAATTATCTTTTATTACAGCATGGGGTTTACGTGGGGGTCCCTGGAATTTTTTTCGCATTGTAAGGGGTCCCCAAACCCAAAAGGCTTGAGAACCCCTGGTCTAAACTGTGCTTCATTTGCTTGTGTCCACTGCTTCAGTCGTGAAAGTGTTTGACTTGGTTATGGCGTTATTGAATAACTTTATCTGAAGATTGTCTGAGAAGGTGTAATATTTCGTGCACTTGTATGTTGTTGTTCMGATATTTCTTGTGTAGTTGTGTTACCAGTTAGCAAACTAGAATAAGTTATTCACCGAAGGCACAGAACCCAAAGCATTTCTATACTTTACTTATTTTGTACTAGCAAAATAAAATATTTTTAAAATAAAGTTAATGAAAAAGTTTTTCTAATTAAGTAATTAGCACCATTCTGTTTAAACACGAGAATTTTACCTAATTTTAATACATATGCAGAGAAGGGAAGGGAAAAGTCAGGCACTAATGACACAGAAAATTACAGATAAACTGCATGTTAGAATATCAGTGCCTCTTTATGGCCGTGCGTGTGTCTGATGTATAAATCCTCAGAACCAGAGCAAGCTTTAATTAATGGAGTTTGATGATTAGCAGGCAAAGGCAAACAGCAGTTAAACGAGCTTGCCCCCCTCTCCTCCACCAGTGAGGATAATTGCATTTCAGCAACAAATTTATGTGGCAGGCACGCTGCCTTTGGAGGGGCATCACTGATGAGGATGATATTTTTTTCTCTGCCTTTTCAGGGCATTAATGTTTTGCTATTACCAAACTCAAATTTCTCAAGGGAATCTAGGTTTTTTTGTATAGCCTAATGTTTTGTTTAGCTTTTCTATGTCATAAGTGTGGTTTTGTTCTTACTCATGAGAATAGTTTAATATGAAGGAATATCAACTCACTTTTCCATTACATTTTCTCTCATTTTAATTCCTTTTATTCATATTGTGACTTCTATTTTTATACTTTTACAACTTGCAAATACAAAACGTATTCCAGAGAACTTTGTTATGGCTATCCCCACACTAGGTAAATGAGAGGTGGGAGCTCCATTGGTTTCCCCAGTCAGTGTAAAATTAATATGTGRCACCATTTTTATTTTTAGACAAACCTTGTGGACTCTCTGGCATGTCATCAGTCTTCAGGTAGCAGCAGCTTCCATTAGCTTCTCTGTTTAAACTTCCTCATACCACATTTTTAGTGTTTGAATAATTTGTCCTAATGAAAGAAAAAAAACTTTAGTAAGGTTAGATAATAGTTTTTGTTCTCTTCAGTACAAAGTTTGTTGATCAGGTGGTTTAGTTTGCTATTCTATTCTTCATGTTCCTCTTAACTTGTTCCTGCAGAAGTTTTTAAAGGCTGTTTTGCATCCTGACTTGAGCTCATGTTCCGTTCTGTTGTCTAGTCTTTGTCAGCTGATAATGGCTCTTTGCACACATCTGAACACGTATCACCTGTCTCTGCATCAGATTATAGTCCTCTCATCATCAGTTCCAGACCTCTTATGTGTTGAGAGGCTGCCTGCTCTGCTTTTCTTCTCTGTTTGCCTACTGGGAAAAACAGGAGAGAATAGCAATTTTGTTGGGAGGTTTCACACCACCGTACTTTGTAAAATGCCTGAATGTGAACCAGAGATTAGTTCTGTGGCTAGCCAGTGTTACACAGTACCACCTATCATGTGTGCAAACATTCAGTGATCATTTATGAAAAATTACTGAAAAGAACCAGAYATAACAATGTTAAAGTTTGGAGTTTTGGACAGTATTTTGTCCACAACTCTTAACCYGAATTAGTTGACTTTACTAGAGATTTTTAAGGAAACCCGTTGCCTTAAACCATTCTAGTTTTCACACAATGATGAAACTAATCAGGTTTAGTTGTGTTAACTTAAGAACTTCAATACAATGGTGTTGAAGATCTTAAGTTAACACAACTAGTCAGGTTTAGTTGTGTTAACTTAAGAACTTCAACACCATTGTATTGAAGTTCTTAAGTTAACACAACTAAACCAGATTAGTTTCATCACTGTGTAAAATCTAGAATGGTTTAAGACAACTGGTTTCCTCAAAAATCTCTAGTAAAGTCAACTAATTCGGGTTAAGAGTGCCATATTAAGCAAATAACCTTAATAACATTAGTTTAAGCTACTGATAATACTTTAATATAAATAACCTTTTATTCTAATGTAATCACCCTTCCGATCTTCTAAGTACATTGAAAGCAACACTAAACAATACATTTTAATGTTCCAATACATTTTCTTTTCTTTTTAAACAAGATATTTTAACTAATCATCAAGCTTATCACAAGTAAAATAGTGGTATTAACACGTAAAGATAGAAATTAAAATGATAAACTTTGACTAGTTTAAAAAATACTAAAACAGTGGCAATAATTCTTGTGCTGCTATATTGGCTGAGAAAACTCAGGCAGCAACATATTTAGTGTTCCTGTTGCAGATGAATTGCATAATGAGACGAGGACTGTGTCGATCAATGCTCTCATAGAATTCCTGCTTGAGGTTCATGTCRACAATCCTGATGAACTCCACGAATACCTGCAAAATACAGAGAATGCTCCAATATCACATCTCAACAGCTGATATCAACTATATTTACATAGATAGATATATGTGTATTCTCATTACACTGACTAATAATATATTTATTTATGCATGCATATTACTGCATTATAATCTAATCTGCATGGTAAATATGCTTTGCACCATTTATCAAATGCTATTGTTTAGCTCTTGGTGTGCAGGTGCTTTTCTTATACTATGTGCTGCTTCCATTCACAGTGTRGACAAAACAAAAACCCTCTTCATTAGTATGTGTTTACTGTGGCTGTACATATTCTACTGAAGCTGGGCAAATGCCCTTATATATGTATAGGGAAGCCTATTTTTGCAACTACTAGCATTTCCTCCCTAATTGTTCCTCTTTGGCTCATAAACTTCCATCCTTTGCGTGTGAATACATGAGTGTGGGTATTTTATAGAGTGAAAGATGGCTTTTTTCACTCTGCTAGCAGTGTCAGCAGGTAAGCTGCCCTGTTGGGAGAGAAGAGAGAAATCGCCAAAGCATGCAGATTGCTACTCCAAGGGGAGAATCAATTAGGGGCATGAAGGCTAGAGCAGAAAGGCAAAGAGAGATGGAGAGGGGCAGGAGTCCATGCAGAGAGGTGGTGCAGAGCCATGCTGATCACCTCCTCTGAGACAATGCATTACTCCTCCTCTCCTGTCCTGTTTCTCAACACCTGATTTCACAGCTTTTTTAAGTGCTACTCTGCCTCAGCCTCARTTTTTTTGTCCGGCCCATTTCTCCTTCAATTATAGATGGCTCTGCTGTCTCAAGTGGGTGGCCTCTTCACCTAACTGGCACTTTAATTTGCTCTGTTCCTATTTGTGCCCCAAAAATAGAGCAAAAATCACACAATTATTTTATCCAGTATGTGTGTTGATCTTGTGGAAGTAATTTGTTGGGGATATCAAAATTAATGTTGCTAGTATTTACTTTTTATTCTTCTTTCCATAGGAACATAATGCCCTCCAACTTGAGAGAAGCCTGATCCCACGGGCCACCAGTACTGGACTGTGCCTCTGTCCCTCTCCTCACCTGTCAACATCAGCACAGCCATGACATCCCTCACAACGATATGGACCTATTTTTCTGTATGCTGCTTCCTGTTTAGTTTGGTGCTTCCTGTGACGTCACAAACAGTGGTGCAAGCCCCACAGGTGATCACAGCATTACTCCAGGAGGAGGGGTATGCATCATTCCATGCTGAGAAACCTGAGCGGACATTTAACCACCTTGCTGTGGACTATCGCAATGGCAATGTTTATTTGGGAGCTGTCAATCGCATTTACAAACTGTCTCCAAACTTGGAAGTCCAAGTAACCCATGAGACTGGTCCAGATGAAGACAACCGCAAGTGCTACCCACCACGTATTGTCCAGCCCTGCAGTGAGCCACTGACACTTACCAACAATGTCAACAAAATGCTTTTGATGGACTATAGGGAAAACCGKTTGTTGGCTTGTGGCAGCCTCTACCAGGGCATCTGCAAACTCCTCCGCCTAGATGACCTCTTTAAACTAGGAGAGCCCTTCCACAAGAAAGAGCACTATCTCTCTGGTGTAAATGAGAGTGGCTCTGTTTTTGGTGTAATTGTTTCTTATGGTAATGCCTCTCCAGACATGCTGTTTGTAGCCACCGCAGTTGACGGCAAACCAGAGTACTTCCCTACTATCTCTAGTCGGAAGTTGGCCAGAAACTCAGAAGAGGATGGCATGTTTGCCTATGTCTTCCATGATGAGTTTGTGGCCTCCATGATTAAAATCCCCTCAGATACCTTCACTGTCATTCCTGACTTTGACATATACTACATTTATGGTTTTGCCAGTGGGAACTTCGTCTACTTTTTGACTTTACAACCTGAAATGGGAGGTGGGCCAACAACTGGATCCTCTTCTGCTGGCCGGGAACAGGTTTACACTTCCAAGATAGTTCGTCTCTGCAAGGCAGACACTGCTTTCAACTCCTATGTTGAGGTCCCTATTGGGTGCATCAGTGGCAACGTGGAGTACCGATTACTCGAAGCAGCCTACCTGTCAAAAGCTGGTGCTATCTTAGCACCGTCACTAGATGTAGCACCGGAAGACGATGTGCTGTTTGCTGTCTTCTCAAAAGGTCAAAAAAGGCGTCCACGGCAGGCCTCTCAGGACTCTGCTCTGTGTGTTTTCTCTCTTCGAAAGATCAATGAGAAAATCAAGGATAGGTTGCAGTCCTGCTACAAGGGAGAGGGCACACTGGACCTGGCCTGGCTGAAAGTTAAAGACATTCCCTGCAGCAGTGCGGTGAGTAGTGCTCAAAGGATGTGGGCAATTTGCTGGTTTAGCCAGTTTAATGACAGCATGAGGAAAGTGCTAGAAATACTCAAATGTTAAAAAATAGAGAATGATAGTTGCATTCTTAAAAAAAAGTTTGGATTATATTTTTCCTTGCACATGTTCTGTGTACTGAACTATTAGAACCAGTACATTTCTGTTTTTCATGGAAGTTACAGTATATAAAAATGCGCTTATTTAGGAAAACAAGGGAAAACTGTTTCAGGGGTAAAACAGTTATAATTTGCTTACTGACTTCTAAATGATTGTTAAAGCTGAGTTTATTTGATAGAAAGTTAGATGTTACTCTGCTTTATGTTACTCTAAGAAACATGGAGGAGGTTCACCATCAGTGTATTCTTAGTGGGATTCTTGATTCATCCCATTACAATAAGATGTTAAGCATCCACTGCCTCTTTTAATCCACTCACCCTTTAAACAAGGCAGCTGAATGCTCAGCTAAATTACCATAATTCTATTCTCCATAACAGCATTACAAATTCAGTGATTCAGTTCATTTGATTTCTTACTTTGTGCACAGAAAAAAACAAGGTTAAATTGGGTGTTACATGTTTGGCMTACCTTTCGGTACAATCAAAGCCTTAACTTTTTAATTGAAAATTAAAAAAGGCTATAGTCAGAATTTATATTTTAGTGTCACTAATGTCTGTTATCTTTAACAAATTCTGCACATATAAATGTAGAAAGCTGCAAATACTTTATTAAGTAAGGGTGACTTGGTCCTGGCTATATTTCAGGAGCATACTATAAATTTTGTCCTCCTGCAGCCCACACCATATTATCCTGACCTTTGTCACATCCTACRTTGAGACATTATGAAGATGACCCCACTTGTCTTTGGTTCTGAAATAGCTGTGTTAATCTATTAATCTGTCTGTGGCCCTCACGCGTGCCAGAGCACCGTTGTCTGCTGCTTGAGGGCCTGATAAATCATGCCTGGGGTGAAGCTGTCGGCAGGAAAAGGAAGTGTGAGGGAGCTCAACAGGGTTGGAGCCTAGGAATTATGCTATTTTAGCATGAGCTAACACAAGTACATAAATTAGAGCCTGCTGAACTGGTGACACTGTGCTCTGCAGGAGATAGATGAATGAGTTCTGACATA